ATTGTGGGCTCATGAGCATTTAATGAAACATATTAAATTATACCTATGTGGCAATATAACTTTTTCCCTCCAAAAACCGTTACTTTTTATTTATTTAACCTCTCATTTAATTATTAGATAATCAACACACTAATAACTTCAAAATTACAAAAAATCATTTTAAACTTTTGATTTACTAACAGCTAACCATATAATGTGTTGACTATTTAAAGTAATTAGATGTTATTGTTGTGGTTACATTTAAATTAACTTCTTTTGGAAAATCAAGAACGTATTTGAAATTCCTAAATAAATAATAAATAATTCACCAAAAAAAAAAATGCTTACCCAAATATACATTACACCCAATATGATAAATACAATTTAAAAAATAAATATTCCAGCTCCTTTACTTGTAAATTTGGCCTGCAAAAAAGTTGAAGAGAAATCATTGATCATTATATATATACAAATAATTCACAATACTTTATTAATATCTGTGCAAATGCACAAGTCGAATACTAGTATATTTGAAAAGACAATATTTTTTCTATATAATTTACATATTTATTTATGTCCAAAATAGGAAACAAGAAAAATAGCGGAAAAAACCTTATGTTGTTTGGCACCCAGCGTTAATACACACACACACTCTCGTTCTCTCTCTGGTACAGAATAAACGCACAAGAACCGATTTTTTTGGGCAGCGTTGAAACCCATAGACGCCGGGATCTGCGACTTCTTGATGAATCCAACCCGACAACAATTTTCTTCGTTATTGACTAATCTGTGCGTTTGTTTTCCTTTCATTTTATTTTTTTTCAAAAATAAAATTTTGTTTATGATTTCTCATGAGTTAATAATTGACCATTTCTCATCTGGTTTAGCGGTGTTAAAACCCTTTGAATCCACATTGTGCCTAATGTCTTCCCGTCAATCTTGAAACTTTTTCCTTTTCCTTATATGTGTGAATATATTTCTGGTTCTGCTCTAATGTCTTCGATTTGCCGTGTCCCGTAATCTGAGAGGATCTTGATAACGTTTCTCATCTTTAGGATATTCTTGGGTTGTAGAGTGAATGTGCTTATTTCGCTTGTAGGATTGTAGAGTGAGTCCAATGTGTTTATTTCTCTGTGATGCTTCCCCCATGTTTGTGTAAAAGGGGAAGATTGATTTAGCGGAAGGGTTAAAATTTTTTAATCTTGAGGAAAGAACCGCAATAAACCAAGAAAAAAGAAAGAAATAGCGAACCTGTTACATTTGCGATCTTGGGCTTGAAGTTGGGGCAAGAAATTATGTCTAAGAGTGGTGACCATCACACGGTCCCATTATCGGTTTTGTTAAAGCGGGAGTTGGCTAATGAGAAGATCGAGAGGCCTGAAATTTTGCACGGTCAGGCCAGTCAGAGCAAAAAGGGCGAAGATTTTACGTTCGTTAAGACCGAATGTCAACGGGCATTGGGTGATGGAGTCACCACATTTTCAGTATTTGCGGTAAGATGCATTATTATTATTGTACTTATTTTTATTTCCTATTGTTGTGTAAATGACTTGTCTTGCAAGTATCCATGGAAACATGAGCATTTGTTGAGACATTACTTACTGTTAAAGATGCTTTACATTGTCTTGTTTTTGTCTGGACAATGATCCCTCAAAACCCTCCTCCTATTAATGTTGTTTGTACTAGGGGTAGTTTTGGAAGTAAAAACTAGAATTTTGAAATGAGGTTTCATTGATGAGGGACATACAACATATTTCCTTTAGATCTGCATGATGCCATTCTATCTTCCACTCTATACATTGATGATACGTGTGAGTGCCACATGTACACAATGCCATTCTTGTACACTTAGCTTCCGGGTATTGTATTGGTAAAATAAAACGGAATAGATAACAAAATTGAAGAATTTAGGTGTGCTGGATCTAGTGTTTTGTTTTTCTTTTCTGGTGGTGTATGGACTATAGCGTAGAAATGTTATTTATTGAGAAATTAACTTGTTTTGCGACTTCCTGGATTCATTCTTGAAAGCTGAATACATGGTCGAATTGGGATTTCTAATCACGATCAATGCCATTCTCTCCAATCTTACAAGTTATGACTTTCTATTTTGCATTTTTTGCGTGCTTCTAACAGTTGTTATTTTTCCAAATTTATCCTGACAGTTGTTTGATGGCCATAATGGATCTGCAGCTGCTATATATTCCAAAGAGAATTTATTGAACAATGTCTTGAGTTCTATTCCTCCTGATCTTAACAGTGATGAGTGGGTATCGGCATTGCCTCGGGCTTTGGTTGCAGGGTTTGTAAAAACAGATAAAGATTTCCAGGAAAAAGGTATAACTGTTTAAATAAATGTCAATTATTTTGAAAACAAACGTGTTTGACAAATTTACAGCTACCTGTTTTACTTTGTGCAAAGATTAGCAGATTTATATGGAGATTCAGGCATCTAGTGATAGTTAATGAAGCTTGTTTCAGACTATTCATTATGTGTTACTGTAAGGGTTGACTTAGTTTGTTTGTCTTTCTTTTCCTGTTTTTCCT